TCAGTTTACGGGATAAATTAACTAACGCAACTAATTAACTTACTTCTAAAATATATTTTTTTCCTGTTATTGTATATTTTGTTTTTATAAATCACGAATCTGATTTCTTCCCTTAGCATTTTAGAAATTTTGTATATTTTTGAGTTTTAGTGAATTCCGTAATATTTAATAAGTGCTCTTTAAAGTGTTACGACAAAAATGTCTAATAAATACATTCTCTTGCATCGAATTATATGCATATTTCTAATTTAAAATAATTGAAAGAAGTATTATTATGAAGATTATGAATTGTGAAATGCAGTTCTGAAAAAATGCCAAAATTTTATATATGGCTATTTTTTGTACCCAAAAAATCTAAAGTAAATAATTCTAAAATTTATACAATAACTCAATTACCGTATGTAAAGGGATTGGCATTCGTGTTAAAAATACGTTAAAATCAAAAGTGCATTTTTCTCAAAAAAATCGAAAGGAAATAAATGAATTAACAAACGAAAGCAAAACAAATCTTGCGAAAAACGAACAAAAATGAGAAAACGTGAAAGTAAAAAACCAGAAAAAATAGCAAAATAGAAGAAAGAGATGAATCCAAATTTTGAATTGAAACAAATATTTCAGATATTTGGCATAAAAGAATTTTTGCCTAAGGAAGGAATATTTTTTTAAATTCATATTTGTACTTTTTAATTAGCACATAGTTGATTCTTTTATGTTAACAATTGCAATTTTTTGAATTTTTCAGCCTTTTAATCATTATTTTCAAAAATAGCTTATGCTTGTATTGCATAGTCATTCAGTTTCACAAAAGATATCTAAAATTTATAAAAAAAAACTTAAACAAATTTAATTTTTTTAAAACCGTATACCTCACAGTTGATCTCATTTTTGCGACAGGTACTTATGGATTAGAAATATATTTGTTATAAAATACCAAATGGATATTTTTTACCATTTTTTTTTTTTCATTTCCCCCAAAATATGAAATACAAGTAATTTTCGTATTTGTTGTTTGTTCATAAGCACTTTTATTTTCTTCTAATCAAAGTAATAAAATTAATATATGTTTACTAAGTTATTATCCATGGGGTTCAGCAAACCATAGAAAAATGATCATGCAAAGAGATACCCACGTTATGTTTGTAGAACACATGTGGGATGTTTTAAACTTATGAACATGTCTGAACATTGAGCATTGAATGAACATTGATGCAGAACGATAAAATACGAATATATCAATAAACATGCATTCCGTTAAGGTATTTTTACGTTTAGTGGTATATTTATCTCTCATTATCTTTAGACTTTTACGATAACAATAAATACCATTGCATGCAATTAATTTAAAACAATCGATAGTGTTGAATTCCTTTCTGATTTTCTTTTCGATATTTGCCTGGCAGGAATTATTAAATGACTAACGAAACTCACAATCCAAGACATGTACCGAGTGGATGATGATTAAATTGTTTGAAAAAAGACACTGGATAATTTATCAAACTTAGCCATGCAAAAAATGTTTGTTTACAGTATTTCTTTTAAAATCTAATTATTTTGTAGTGTGTTACAGCATTTGTACCCTTCAGAGCTTACTATAAATGATATGTTGCAGGACTTTCGTTTACTCATGGTAGTAAAAAAAGTATGCATAAACTGAGATATTTGAAAAATTTTGATTGTTAAAATTATTCTAGAAGAAAAAAAGAACTTTCAATAATATTAATACGCCATTGATCATCTTACAGATGCAGGAAAGTTTCACGCAGTTAACGAGAATGTTTTTTGAGAATAAATTGCAACTGATAATTCAATTCTTAATTAATTGCACTGTAGAGTTTATTCTAACAGAATATAAATAATATTTACACTGTGATACCGCCCCCCTTTGGTGACCGCATCTTTGATTGTCAGCGTGAGCTAGAGGTGTAGGAATAACATTTTTAACAAAAGGAATATACATTTTTAATTCTTAATATGTCTTTATTAAGAATAGAACTTAAATGTCTAACAATTTAGATAAATTTAAATAAGGGAGAATCTAAAATGAACAACACACAGTGATAGTGAAACCGAGAACCGTTTAATTTAGACCACTTTCTCTAAGTTATAACTATTTTATCCGCCTACTCTCACTTCTAATAATATTACGTCCTAATATCAAATAATCAGCCCTACCTTAATCCAAACTTAGATTCAATCTTAATGTTGAAACGTCTAAGCACGCGTGCAATGGTATGCACCTTGTATTACTGGTTTACTTTCCAGGTAACTTCACGATTGGCTGTCAATTCCCTCTAGTCTCTTTCACACATAACATTCCCCAAATTGCCATCTCGCTTACTGAAACTTCATTTCTTTTAAAAGCTATCTTATTTGCATTTCTTGTTCACATTTCGCTTCTTGGGTTTTGGTTGGAAAAGAGTTGCCATTAATCTTGGACACTAAAGAACCCAGAGGTTATGTTAAAGAAAAGACGTGTGAGCCCGTTACAACACTTATAAATTTACACTACCATTGATTCAGGAATCACTCAAATATTGAACATAGCACAGATTCTCATAAAGGAAGTGAAACGCACATTCACTGTCAAATGTTTCAGTCCAATATATCATCTCAGCATCAGATTGAAGAGAATATTTTTTACCCTTATAATACTTTCTGATTAAGTATTTATCGTAGAATCTTTTGGATTTATCTGGGGTCATATATTTTTGTCAGGAAATATGATGGTATTTAGGACCAAATTTGTCGTCGATGTCATTTCTACTAACTTAACATTACTAAAGAATATTCTCACCTGACCTACAAAGATCTTTCTGTTTTTAATAACCTTTTGGCAGAGAATGGAATAAGGCTTGAGATTTTTTAATGTTATATATTTCCTTTACATAAAATATATTTTTGAAATATTACTTAAAGTTTCAACTTAACTAATATCGTTTATTTAAATATGTAATGGAACAAAAATGTGTTTTAGTTATTCAACCAGTTTATATGGTTGTAGTGATAGATATTAAAATTATTAACGCAAATTATTAAAACAAATGAAATTAATATTATCGGAAAATAATAAAAAAAATATTTATTTTATTGATAAAAATTCTTTTGTTTGATTAATAACAATGTACTGTACCTGTTTCAATTTTCTATCCTACTGAAATTTTGCATGATACACAGAGTATACATTTAATTTCAAACTGCATTTATTTCAGTAACCGAGAAATGAGATGCCATTGAGATAAAACTCTTTTTCTCAGCTTCAATATCAATCAGTATGAGTACTTTGTGATCATTACACATTTATGCGTGAAATTATTTTTATTAATATATATAAAATAATTTCTTTCTTTTTCTTTTTTAAAAAAATGTAAAATTCAATTAGGAAAAACAATTTTGCTTAGTGTACAAATAACTTAATGTACTGTTTCTTGTTCTGGTTTTCTTCAATTAAAAGAACTCACTCAGTAATCGTAAGAGAAAATATCAGAATAAATCATAAATTTTGTAAGAAAATCACTGAACGCAATCACTATTTTCAAAATAATTACGTGATACAAATTGTTAAAATTGAGACGAAACCATTATTCATTGATAAGAATATTTTACGTAGTCTATTTAAAAGGGAAAAAAATCGGAAAAGGGGAAAGACAAAGCCTCCTTTCAATTTCCTAATGAGATTTCAGTTGTAAAACAACATTGTGATGGCAGACTTCTCATTTGGGTAGTAGTAAAATGTAGAATAATAAAAGTGAACTAGATTTAATTTAAAGAATTCTTAATGTTTGAAAATGTACCTTACTTCCAAACATCTTGATAAAACTGCTTTGAATTTAAGAATTAGAAATATATTTGGTTATTTCCCACACCCACATACATACATCACCACCACCACCAACAACAACTCAGAAATATACATATGGGAATAATAACAGGTTATATATATTAGTATATTATATTCTTAGAGCATATATTTAATAGAATAAAGTTTGTGAGAATAAAGAGAAGTTTGTCTTATAATAAACACTAGGAAATCTATATGACAAATAAGATATCAAATGTTTTATTTCTACAGAGGTTTTTGTAAAAAAGTTCAAACGTCTTTTCCTTCTTTGGAAAATCTATTATTGTTATTCTTTTTATAGGAGACAGTTAATTTTTTTTAGTATATTTATAAATTAAAAAATATTGAGCTAATTATACAAAGTTCTGTAGAAACAAGGGATATGGCTAAATTATTACAAATACTTATATTTTTTTCAAAGTGCACATCTTGGGATTTCCTTTTGAAATAAATTTAATAGCAATCACGAGTTGATGTGAACATTGTCTTAGTTATAAAAATTTGCTTATCACATTTCACCTACTGTAATGTATTTTTTTGAAAGATGGGAAATAATTATGTATTTTCTTCTTTTAAAATGAAATGGGGAAATGCATAACATCTTATTTATTTCTTAAAAGTGCATGTTTCAAAATGTAGATTTTCAGTGTTGCTTATTTTTTTAATTCGAGAAAACTTGTGCATCATTGTGGAGCTTGAAACCTTTTTTTCCCTGTTTTTTCCCCTAACTATGTTTTCCATTTTCCTTTGAAATTTATATATTTTAGATGAACACTAAACGTACGGTCCCATCGTACTTAAATGATACATATACCCGTGACGGGGTTTATTCTCTTTAATAAGCATGTGGGAAATATATGTAAAAACGATGTCGTAGTAATATATTTTCTCACCTTAAATCGCTTTTGATATTTGCTTTATATAGTTCTTTGCTTAACATACATTTTATTCAATTCCTACTATTAGTTTACAATCTCCCTATATATGTATATATCTTGTTCAAATGTTCAATCATTAATAAAATACCTTCGATTTGTCCATTCAAGTTAAATACAGCTTTTTCAAATATTAGTTCATTAGATAAACTTAATTAATGAACAAATAGTAACAAACAGAAACATAATAGTCCAACACCATACATAAAAAGTAAAATTGCACGTTGTGTTCCAAAGGCGCAATGAAAAGCGTGTTGGACTTCTAATCCAGAGACCGTGGGTTCGAATCCCACCTGGGATAACCTAATTTCTGAGAATGTGGTTTATGAATGAATAAATAGCAACCAACAAAAATAATAGTCCAACACCATATATAAAAAAAAATGGAAAATCGCTTTCTATTTGCCACTTAATTTTGTGATTCTCTATTATGTATATATATTTATATTAATTGTAATTGGAATAAAATTTTTCTTTGTTGACCTAAGTAGAAATTAACTTAATTTTTTTTATATTACTTGTTTCTCTTAAAATATATTTATGTTTGAAATTAATCGAAAATATCAGCATTTATATTCGATATTAATCAGGGTTTCTTTTTCCTTTGAAAAGAAAAACAACAACATATTTTTAAGAAAAATTAAACTGTGATGTTTTTGTCTGGAACATAAGTAACCCTTTTGGAGGTAATCAAGCAGTTAATTTCTGCAGAAATTAAGCATAAATTTTCATATATTCAAGTGTTTGAACTTGTACGAAAAACAGAACAAGAATCCATACTATTAAGGTGTGTGTATATTTTATTTTCTACTTGATTGATCTAATCTTAACCATTTTTTAAATGAAAAAAGTGAATTCGACAGTAAAGATTTATTTTTGCTTTTTATTTTAAAAAGTACTTTTGGAATACTATTGTCTTAACGTAATGTAAAGTCTAGTCTCTAACGGCAATAGAAAAAATAATTTTAAAACGTAGAAATGTTGCTGAGGGTCCTACTTATGTGCTTAAGATTTAAGTTGCCATCCACAGAAAATCTTTTTTTTTGTTTGTATTTAAGTGTTTTTAAACTTTCCTGATCTTGTACAGGTCTTCAATTTTTAAATGTATTTTTAGCCTATTCTTTGTATTTTATTTTAAAGCAGTATATAGACTAATAGTCATATTAAGTTTTAAGAATGATAGATATTATTGCGCTTACAAGGAAAATAGCTTTGTCTTAGAATGAAAAATAAAAATAAAACTATGAAAATATATACAAATAAATCAAATTTATGTTTAGCAAATGGAATGAAAGCAACTATATTTGCTATAATAATATTTAAAGTATATCTTCTATTGTGTTTGAATATGAAACATATGCAGCTGAGAAATCCAACTTGGTTGGTATTGTTTAAACATAGCTCCAGTATTTTAAAATTTGTTATTTCAAAAAAAAAATAATAAATATAGTCTTGTTAAGAATAAAAATTTTGGTTTTCTATCTTATGTATAAATTCCTTTTTTTATACGTTGAGTAATATTTATGTATTATTATAAAAAAAATCAAGGAACGTTTTATTTGTACAGTTTAATTCCATTTGTCAGTTTGGGACATGTTTATCGGTGTCATTTGGATCTATAAAAAAGTAAGACTCGTTGACTTTTAAGGCATTAGAAATGAATATTCAATATTTACTTTAAAAATGCCTTCTTCTCAGCTCAGTATCTTACGGTTATAAAAAAAACATTGTCATAACTAGTTTATCCAATTTTAAAAATGGGGCAAACTGCTTCAGGCGAATAGGCGCTTCAGAAATAAATTTTCAAAAGTCAGTTTGTGTCATTTATATTTTTATTCCTGAAACAGAAGTCTTTATTAATGAAAACAAGTTGTCTTTATAAAAAACCTACTGTTAGAATTTTATCCTTTAAAAAAGATATTATTTTATTCCTACTTCAGAAAGAATTATCATAATATTGAATAATAAGCAACAAATACAATAATATTATATATGTTTTATTTTTGAGTATAAATATAATATTTTAAAGTATTTTGTATGAAATAAATAGCATGCAAATGATGTCTGGGCAATATATTTTGGGCAACATAAAAAAAAAAAATTCTACTTATTTTTCCGTGAAAAAGAGTTGTTAGAAATGGCTAATAATTTTCCAGATGAAATAAATGATGCAACTAATGAAAATTAAGCTTTCACCGGGAAAACATGGTTAACATTATCGGCTGTTAATTTATTAATATTTAGCTTTATTTAAGATATAAAACGGATCAACTTCTCAAAATGCATCAGTATATATTGAATATTTTTCTAAAAAATAATATTACAGAATTTCTTTAAGTAATCAATTAGCATACATTTGAAATTCGGTTAGATAAAAATAAATAGTCAATTTTTCGGATGCCTGTCCCCATAGCCTCATTCGCCATACAATGGCTGCATTGCTATTTTCGGGCCACGGAATCAGTTTAGATTGAGTTAAAGGATTGATTCCCAGACAATGCTTAATGACAGCTTCAAATGAATCTTTTATTCTCTTTAAAGACATAACTTCTTTGGAACTGTATGGGCCTTTTAACTCCCAGGAGTTCAATTGATCTTTCTTTTCTTTTATGGGGTGAATTGTCTTCGTAAATACAAATGACAACACATTTACGTGCTTGTGATTTAAAATTTAAAGCTTTGATAAAACCATAAAATCAATCACAGTTGTGTAAATAAGCGTAGTAGTAAGAATAAATTCTTTTGGTACTTGTGTATTATTGCCACCTAATGGTGACATTATATGAAACGAAGCAAGTGACTGCCAATTCAGCGCATACGACACATACAAAATTGTGGTTGCTAACATGGCGAGTTATCTTGAAGATTGGTGATTATTGCGGTAATACGTAAGTACCATTTTTTTATCACTGCTGTCTTCATTTACTTTTGTTTTATAGAGTTCTATTGAATATGGGTCTATAGGCTTCACGTACGACTAATAGAAATAATATCACGATAATCTGATTTGAATAATAAAATTTCTCTCTTTTTACTATATCTTAGACTCCATATTTTTTTTGTTGGTTTATGATTATTCATTGCGGAATTTCTCAGACCTCAGAAATTTATTGATAGAAGTCTAAAATCTTATATAAAAACACATTCCCAAAGATGTATTTGAATGATAACGTAATTATCGAATGGATTGCGGTCCATGATTTGTAATAGAAAAACATATAATGTAAAATTATTTACCTGATCATTTTTTTTTGATGGTCATTTTTTGTTTTCAATTTTCTACGTCGTGAGCCATCAGAAATTTTTGAGAGTTGTTTTCTTTCAGTATTTATGAAGCTCTATTTACACATTTCAAGACAGACGTTCGAATGAAAACTAAACCTAAAAAAATAGTACTCGTAAAAAATAAAAACAAATTATCACAATTCTTATGTTAAGAGAACATTTTATATAACTTAACAGTTATTTGCAAAATTTCCATTGTAAAATGATTTAATTAACAAAAATATGTTAAAATTAGAAATGTATTTAATTTTTTTTTATTGTTTCGGAAATTTCGGACTCGATTTGCTTCTGTATCGAAACAGCATTCTAAACAAAAGATCGGTCTCATGGGCAAGAGTGTATTTCTCTTTCAAAAACGGTAAAGGAACAAGAGCGACATTAAAGGCAAATATGGTAGCCAAATGTCGGCAAGTCGTCAAGTTTGGTGAAAAAATGGATGTTTGTAGAAGAGTCAAGGGATTTTAATGTTACTATTTGGCTGAAACGCTCAAGAATCTCTTTTAATGTTCTTTTGCTGCCTGTATAAGAACGATGCAGGGAAGTTACAAGGTCTGTTCAAAAATCTTCCAACCTTGAATTTTCCTGCGCACAGTAGAGATTCTAAAACGGCGTTACTGTGTACAGTAGCAAGTGGCGGCTTAAGGTATCCGACTACGTTCGGTACCGTGATTTTGCAAAAGCGTATGAATGGATAATATTTATGATATTTAGTGTCGCTTGGATTAGAAAATGTAGATAAAATTGTTTTAAGAATAGTATTACACTAAAAAATTATTTAAATGTAATATTTTGACAAAAAATAAACATAGAATGATCCATTTTCAAAATATTCTCCTTTTGTGAAAAATGCTTTTATTATAATAATATTTTGCCTGTATATAGCTCAGATCTTTTTACAGAGGCTCACCTAGAATTTTTGAAATATATAACTTAGAAGTGGGTTTATCCATGTTTTACGACAACAGAGGGGAGAAATTTTAAGAAAAAATTCTGGTAATTATTTCAATGGGTTGTAACTCTGGAAATAATGTGAATTTTAAAGCATAGTTGAGCCTCTGTACAGAGGTCTGAGCTATATACAGGCAAAATATAATTATACTAGAAGCAGTTTTCACAAAATTAGATAATTTTGAAAAAAGGTTATTCTAAGTTAATTTTTTGCCGAAATATTGTATTTAAATACTTTTTTTTGTCAAAATGTCCTTAAAACAATTTTATACATGTATTCTAATCTAAGTGACACTAAATATCACGAAAGTATCCTTTTATGCTCTTTTTTAAAATCAAGGTTTCGAACGTAATCGTATACCTTAATGCACATGCTTGACTTTTCCCTTTCGTTTCAGTGTACCAGTCGTTTCCTGCAGATGTCGTGTGAGGCACTGTTTTACGTATCCGTCGAATTTTTATTTCTCTGAAGAACACATAATGACTTGAGCAGAGGTACTAGATCAAATTTTTTTGTCAAAAGCTTGGTGTCAAAGCTTTTCTAAGTGAAACAATTCATAGGATTCAGAAAGTGTTTGGAAACGATGCTATAGGATTCACAAATTAAGGAGTAGTTTAACCGATTCAAAAGTAGCCGCTCTCGTCAGTAGAGAATGACCAGCATTCTGGGAGACCACAAATTACTCGAAGTGCACCTATTGTTGAAAAGGTGGAAATTCTGAAATGAAAGATCGCTGTTTAAGGTATTCGACTACTTGCAACATTAAAAAAAAAAAAAAAAAAATGGAGATATGGAGATTTTTTTGCTGTTTTTGGATTTATTTAGTTTATTTTCAGAAAAAAATGCTAAAATTAAGAAGAGAAAAATAAATTATTACACTTAAAATGGGAAAAAATGGGTAAAAAGTGACAAGAATGACAGAAACAGGTACAAATAATAAATGAACAAATTCTCAAATTTTCATTTTTGATGTATTACTTTGTGCTATTACATTTTGAAATGATCTTCAGGATAACAGATATTTTAATTTTTTATAAAACTAGAGCACTTTATATCTTAAATATATGA